CGATCTACGCTAGACATCCTTGAGAGGGCCAAGCGAGAGGCTTCGACATGGTTTTTAGCCAATAGTCTAGGGGATGATCCTAACCCTACCAATCAGATATTAATCTCGCCGGTGGTCCTACCTGCTCTTATCACTTGTTTTCTGGATGGTTTGTGGAAAGACAGCGACCCCACAGGTGGCCTAGGTTGGATATTACAAGTACAAGATGGGGACACGGATCTTTTGGGGCTACGGGGGATGAGAAGGGCTTTGTCCCCTCTACATATAGAGTTACATAGCCTGCTATGGGCCATGCATAGCCTATGGAAGAAAAACTGGTATTGCGCGATGTTCGTGACAGATTCACAAGAATTAATAGCTACGGTGGCGGAGCCGGACAACTGGCCCCGCTTTGCCCCAGAGTTGGATGAAATGAGGGCGCTACGTTCTCATTACCCGGACTTTACACTTACGTATTGCCCCAAGAATAAGAATGAGAAGGCGGATCTACTAGATAGGAATGCTCGCTAAAGAAACTCAATTTTCTCTAGTATTAGTACTTCGATTCCACATTGGTTTCTGGATACATCTGTATTCATTTGATCAATGTTAGTGAAGTGCGTTCGTGACAAAAAAAAAATCCTAAGATCCTGATTGTTTCTGGTAATCATATAATGTAACCGGAACTGGAGGGTTAGTTTGCAAATAATGAAAAATGTGTGATAAGTTTGAAACCAACTTTTGAATTTTGGTTAATTTGCAAATTAGCTTTATTTTAACTTTCGTTTGCAAATTTATATTAGTTTCACCGTTGCAAATTTATTTCCCTCCCGTTTCTGGGTTCTTCGTCAGTACTCTCCAAGAAAAAGGGGAAAAATTCTACAGTCTTAACATATTCAAAGACCATGGGTTATGCCTCCGGTAGGTTGGGGAAGCTGAAGTCATCACTACGAAGCAGCTCTTCTCAACTCGCCGAGGAAGATACCATCGTGAAAATGGAAGAAGGACTTCTGAATTCGCACGATCTTGAAGGGCAAAGAGAAGATGAATTGTTGCATTATCGTCACTGGAAGGGGTTTGATGATCGGGCTCCGCATAAACTCTCCGGGAGACGATGTTGGAAATAAAAAAAC